CAAACTTTGGACACCTTGTAAGTACTACATACTTTTGCCAGATTATGGAGACTTTGTTCTCTCGATTCTCTCTTTTAAAACTAATGAAACTAAATTCAGCACAAATTACAAAGGCATGTATTTCTACCAAGTAAAAGCACGTGATTGAGACAGTAATTTGTTATGAGAGAGAACTTAAAAGTTATCTACCCCGAGATTTATTGCCCTCAGAAACAAATAGGCTGTTTTGGGTGAAAGGAGTTTCAAGATTCTCAAATTTAAATTCAGGTTCAGATTAGATGCCCAATTTGATAGTTAAAAATTTGTATTGGAACACATATACAGTAAAAACTTTGCAAAATTTCCTCCTTCATTACCTTTATTTGCATATTGTCTTTGGGGTTTCTCAGAAGTTGGGGAAATTGATGTAGTAACCAGGCTAAATATACTTGGGTTACTGGATTTAGTGAATTTCTACTAGTTCCATAGTATGCTAAAATGTTACGAGGGTGATGCATTTCATTTGGAATATTTGAGGAGGGAGGGGTGTTCTCTTAGGGGTTATTTCCTAGGTGAGTCGGTTTTCTATGGTCTAAGTTGGAATTCAAATAATCTGAAGTATTAGGGCTATACTTAGGAGACAAAGAAGATATTTACACTCTTATCTATAATTGTTAAACAACTGTCTACTCTAAAAGGTTAAACTATTAGAGAGGGTGTAACTTAAATATATATACTTCAACACGCCCCCTGACATGCTCGCTAATATTTTGGGCCTAGCACATGAATTTTTTTTTTAATTATTAGGATGGCGACGAGAGTCGAACACTGGACTTCCTACTCCGATATCATATTAATGTTGAGAGAGGGACAGAGACAGAGATAGAGAGTGAGACGTGAGAATGAGGTTGGAAAAAGTTAGACCTACCTTCTCCCTCATCTCATATATATATGTATCCAAATTTAACTAAAAGACTAACATACCCCTCTTAGGATATAATTATTACATAGATTCCACTTATACATTCTAACACTCCCTCTCAAGCTGGTGAATATATATCATATAATTCTAACTTGGAACAAATATATCTTAATTGAGGACTATTCAATGACTTAGTAAAAATATCTGTAAGTTGATCATTAGATTTAACAAACAGTGTGATAATATCACCATGCAACACTTTCTCTCGTACAAAATGACAATTAATTTCCATATGCTTCGTTCGTTCATGGAACACTGGATTAGAAGCAATATGAATAGCATCTTGATTTTTACAAGATAACTCAATCGGAGTCTGGACTGGAAATTGAATCTCCTCAAGAAAGTGTTGTAACCATCTCAACTCATTACACAGGTGAGTCATCACCCAGTACTCAGCTTCTGCACTAGATCGAGTCACTACTGTCTGTTTCTTATTCTTTCATGTAATCAAATTACCTCTCAAAAACTTACAATATCCAGTTATAGATCGTCTATCTGAGGAGGAACCTATCCAATCAGCATCTGTGAATCATTCCAACTTAAGGTGTCCATGTGATTGATATAACAATCTAAGTCTGGGAGCTCGCTTTAGATATCTAAGAATACGAATAACAAAATCCCAATGTAGTACTCGAGGAGTTTCCATAAATTGACTTATTACACTCACTGCATATGATATATCTGGTTGAATAATAGTGAGATTGTTTAACTTTCCAACTAGTCGATGATATCGTCCAAAGATCTGAGAAGCATTCACCTTCACCAATAATTGTCAAATTGCGATTCGTATCGTGAATCGGAATCATAAATTTGAGAATCGTAAATCGTATCGAATCGTGAATCGTAAGATTCGACAAAAAATTTGAACAAAAATAAAAAATAATACTACATATGTAAAATAGATAAAATATTGAATATTGAACATTGTTACATTCTAAAAATAATCAATTCACATAATCATATCGTCCAAATGGAAAGACGCTAGCCTTTTACTTCATTTTTATTTTTTGCTTAACCATTTTTAAAATCAATAACTTGAAAAAAAAAATTCATTAAAGAACCATGGTTATTCAAGAACCAAATTAGTGATACCCAATATAGATTAGGTTATAAACATGAATAGAAAAAAAAAATAAGAAAATTGATTAGGATAAAACATACAGACCAATATTTTGAAACCAAAAATTAAAACCTCACAAACTATCCATGAAAGATTTGAGAGTAAAAATCAACTGATCATGCACGAGTGTTAGCCGTGACCTTTAGTTTTACATAACACAAGACAAATTTTAGACGACGTGAGAGAGAGAACGAGCTAAGAGGTTGAGTTTTTATTAGGGTGTGGGTTCTTTTACAAACAAAGTGACGTCGTTTTATTGTTTAGCAGACAAAATGACGTCATTTTGTCAAAAATTTGGGTTTTAAAAAAATGATTGAATTGTGCGATTCGGGCAATACGAATCGAATCGTAAGATTCAGGTGTGATTTAACTCAAACGATTCTCATATAAGATATGAATTATTTTGTACCTGTATCAAACCGAATCGTATGAATCGAATCGCGAATCGTACAATTTTGATAACTATGCCTTCATCCACTGAGAGTTTATAGTTTGGATCTATAGGGATATTAACTGGTCGACCATCTAGAAAATTTGTTTCCTCCAAAAGATCAAGTACATATTTTCTTTGAGACAGACTAATCCCCTATTTAGATCTAACAACTTTGATACCTAAAAATTAATGGAGTTTGCCTAAATATTTAGTATGAAATCGATGTTGCAGAAATTGTTTTTACTTGGCAATACCCATAGAGTCATCACCGGTAATCACAATATCATTAACATAAACAACATGATGGATATTACCTAAATTGGTATATAGGTAAAATACCGAGTGATCTGTCTGACATCTATGAAGGCAAAAATCCATCACTGCATTTGAAAACTTCCCAAACTATGTTCGTGGAGATTGTTTCAACTCATACAATGCTTCTTTAATTTGCACACTTTTACCTTATACTTCCCCTGAGCAACAAACTCAGGCAGTTGCTCCATACAAACCTCTCTTCTAAGTCACCATGTAAGAAAGTATTTTTCACATCTCATTGAAATAATGGCCAAGAGAGATTAGTAGTCAAAGAAATCAAAATTTGGACATAATAAATCTTGACCATTGGGGAAAAAGTCCCCGCATAGTCAACAACATATGTCTGGTTATACCCCTTAGTAACCAAACGGACTTTGCAATGATCCATGGAGCCATCAGGATGAAATTTAGTGGTGTAAAACTAGCAACACCCAACAATTTTCTTATCAAGAGGCAACAAAACAAGATTCTGAGTGTGATTATCATGGAGTGAATGCATCTCCTCTTCCATAGCTTGCCTCCAATGTGTATTAGAGAGGGCACTTGAGAAAGTCTTAGGAACAAATATAGTAGATTACTGAGAGATAAAACAAGAAAATATCGGAGATAACGAATTAGAAGAAACAAAATTACCAATAGGATGATTAGTAACACTGGAACGAATACCCTTACAAAGAGCAATCGGTAGGAAGTCTGAGGTGCTGAGTTGACAGGACGTGAAGACGACGAGGAAGCTGGTGGTGGAACTGGAGCTGGAGAAGGTGCAGGTGGCCTTAACTAATGAGAATAGACATGACATAGTGTGGTGGGAGGTACATGAGGAGACACTAACATAAGAGGTGACTCAAGAGAAAGAAGAGGACCTAGAGTTGGTAGAGGAAGTGAAACAGGTAAGGAAGATGAGTCAGAGTGACAATCAAAAGGAATGGGTGGTGCAGAGAAATAGGGGGTTGACTCCCAAAAGGTGACATCAGCATAGGTAAACTATCGCCTCAGAGTAGGACTGTAATAATGGTAATCCTTTTGTGTGTGAGAGTGGCCAAGAAATATACACTTAGTAGCACTTGGATTCAGTTTACCAAAACCAGGACCAAGATTATGAACAAAACAAATATAGCCAAACACCTTAGGAGGAATGGAGAACAATGGAGATCGAGGAAACAATACAAAATGAAGAGAGGCCCCTCGTAAGACTATAGATGACAAACAGTTATAAGATAACAAGCAATCAAAACAGCATCACCTCAAAACTGAGGAGGAACATGCATATGAAAGAGGAGAGCCCGAGTAACATCCAACAAATGACAATTCTTTCGCTTAGCCATGCCATTTTGTTGAGGCGTATGAACACAAGAAGTCTAGTGTACAATCTCTTTTTGTTGGAAATAACTCTGAAAGGAATTAGACATATATTCTTTAGCATTGTCAGACTGTAGAACACGAATATGACTGTTAAATTGAGTCTTAACATAGACAGATCGTCATGAGAATTAGTAATAGATGCAACTGGACCATTAGTAGACATATGATGTAATGAAGTATCATTAGAAGCTTGATTACAATATGCGGGTCTCCCATACTTATCCCATCAATAAGTCTCAGTATGTCCAGTGCCACCACAAGTACTTTTTCACTTAGGTTGATGACCACAACCAAAACGGACGCCACACCTTACATTATACAACGAACCATGACTGTCACCATGAACACAACCATTGCGATCATTCAAAGTCGTCATAAAAAATCCACAATTAATTATTCACCCAAAATCTTGCAACAACACCAACAACCTACTCAAATAGAACTAACTAAACAACTCAAATCACAATCAAAGCACTGAAAAAGTAGGGCGAATTGGGTTGATATCCACTGAACCGGCCTAAAAAAACATTGAACCGATGCTGAAAAGCCTTGAATCAGACTAGAACCCATTGAACCGGTCTGAAATGTGTTCAACCAGTCTATAGTGTCACTGAACTAGACCCAGGAGGACTATCTGGGGATGGTCCTGTTCAAAAAAGAGGAGAATAAGGTGAACCAGAGGAGGAAAATTCCTGAACCGAAATGAACCGGTCCGAGAGAGAAGCTTTTTTATCACTCCTAAAACAATCAAAACGCACCACAAAAAGCAAAACACAATTGACTCGCTTTTAGCATTCAATTATGCAGGCATGAGCAGTCTTAATCTATATCTAGTAAACTAATAATAGTAAGTAGTTGTATTGCTTTTTATGTCCAGTAGTTGTGGCATATGCGTATCCATGCATTATAGTTTCCTTTTCCTCATCATTTCTCTCACCTTTTGCTATTTTGTATGTGATTACTCATTCACTTGCTGCAGGTAGCTTTGTATGTGTAGTGCAGGGTACCACTCATTATGCTTCTTTATTACGATTGGGAAGTTTTTACTTTCAACTTTGGGCTAGACTTGAATTACTTTACAAGGGAGATAGCCCTCGCATCCCCCCAGTGGGCAAAACAAGGGGCCATTGCACTTGCAAACCATAATTTAAATCAACTGAAAAGCAGAAGAAATTGGGGGAAAAGTTTACTTTGTTGGTGATCCATACTTCCATAGCCCAGTCACTGAAGGATGTATGTAAAAACAAGCTGACAGTTGAATTTTGCCTAGAGCCTTGACAATAAAAATGTTTATAATGTAGATCAAATATGTTTTCATACTGCCAGCATATGCTTTGCAATTCCCAAACTTCATGTAGATTTTTCTGTAACTTAATCTCTTTTAATGTGTGTTTTCTGTAAATTAAGCTTTGTTCTTTTCCTTTTTCCCAGCATCTTTTTTCCTCTAATCTGTTGGTAAATGTTGACTTTCTGCAGTCTTCATTTGCACGTTACATGTCCAGCCAAGGATTTGATACATGGATTCTTGAATATCGAGGTGCTGGATTGAGCGAAGAAGTGAGAACCAGGGAAGTGAAGCGGCCTGTTACTTCTATTTCTGAGCAAGTTGATTTGGCTATCAAGCATGGGATGAATGGCGCATCCTCTTCAGAACTGCAGCCAAGCATCAGCTCTGATGCGTTTGCAGAATATAAGGACTCTGCCAAAGGTAAAAAGAACAGATATGGTGACTAAATCTAAAAGTTCACATTTGGTCGCAGAGTTGACACATACTTTATAGGTTTTTCTGAAATACTGTCTCAGTGTCTTGCCAAATGATGGTCAATCACAAATTATGTGTATTATGCAATAACTGATAGAAGATATACAATTACATAAATGCTTCACAGATTTGATAGTAAGACAAATCTCTTCTATACCTAACCAAATCAGCGATTCTTGTGAGTATTATTGAACAAGGTCATCAATCAGTTTCTCCACAGTTTATTGAAATTCAAGAACGATTTTCTGCTACAATAGAAGATTTACGGAGACAGCTTGGCCTCATTGTGAAGTATAACTGGGACTTTGATCACTATCTGGAAGAGGATGTCCATGCTGCGGTGAGGTGACATCTCAATATTCAGGATTTCAAATATGAAAACTTCTGTGATTTTATCCTTTCAACAATTAAATCCTCTCAATTGAGATTTCATATCTGTTCCAAATCACCCTTCCTCGTATAGATCCATTATCATTGTTGAAGTATAAATACGTAAAGTTACACCCTCTTTAACATCTTAAGCTTTTAGACGAGTTGGTGGTTTAACATGATATCAGATCATGAGGCCTTTAATTCAAATTTCATCGTCACCTTGGTAATTAAAAAGATTTTGACGTGTTAGGCCCAAAATTTGGCCTGACGGGACTTGTTGAAGTGTAACTACCTAAACGTACACCTTTCTCTAAAAGTTTAAGCTTCTAGATGAGTTGGTGGTTTAACAATCATCTCTTTTTTTTTTTTCTCTATATAGATGGGGTACATAAGGACTCAGTGCAAACTGAAGGATGGCAAGTTACTCGCAATAGGTCACTCCATGGGGGGAATCTTGCTGTATGCAATGCTCTCCCAAAAATGTATGATGGTGTAACACGGTTGCCCTTTCTGTTGTTTTATCCACATGAAGCATAATCTGTTTGTTTTTTTCTTTTGGACAAACCATGAAGCATGCATGTACATGATTTTGTAGCATTATATTTTTTGGTCCTTTCTGTCGAGATTCTTGCATTTTTCGTCATGATATGTTAACATATAGGTTTTTCCACCATTTCTGGCCTTACAATACTCAGCTTAATGTCATTTTGATGATGAGCTCAATGGACACAAATCTATACAAAAATCTAAGGACAGAAAGAAAAGAAAAGGGAAACAAATGCACAATTAGATAAAAAAAACTTACTAACAAATTATAAGAATGCATATGGAAAAGTGATCACCATCTTCAGGATAAAATACTGAAGCTACAAAACAAGGAAAGGAGCATATTGTAATTCTATTATCTTCCAAGTTCATTTTTCTAGTGTGCTAATGAAGACTATAAAGCTAGTGTATAGAGTATTAAAAAAATGTGCATGAAATTGTTGTTTCTTATCTAAAAAATAAAAAGTATTGACTGAATGTGCATGAAATTGTGTTTTTCTTATCCAGAAGAAGAAAGAAAAATGGATTTGTGCAATAAAAGCCTATGATCACGCATCTTGGCATTTTCATTCATAGAATCATAGAAAAATTGTATGGGATGATTCTTGGAAACATTATGATAATAAAGTCAACTTGCATGTTAATTTTTCCTTTTATTCTTTAAATATCACTGGTCCTGGTTTGACAACAGTGAACCTTAATTGACATGTCAATAATGAAGAGAGTTTGGTATACCTATGTATGATCTCTTATAAATGCGAATGGAAGTTGTCACATTTAGTGGTGTTGAGAACTTGAGATAATGGTTCTTGAGATAATATTTTGCTACATTTGCTAAAACATATTATTTTACAAGGTCGCCAAAGAAGGGACTCTGGTCTGGCATCAGTTGTGACACTGGGGTCATCACTTGACTACACTTCTTCAAAGTCATCATTGAAATTGATTTTACCTCTGGCAAGTGGATTGAAATATTAATTGTTTCACACAACTGAAGTATTGCTTCACTAAGCTTTCTAAATGTAACGGAATATGATGCGAATGTGATTTTGATTTGATGTTTACTCAGGTATATCCTTTACAAGCTCTCAACGTTCCTGTTATTCCAATTGGGGCTTTGATCGCAGCTGCTCATCCTTTTGCTTCGCATCCTCCTTATGTTTTATCCTGGCTAAATCCTCAGATTTCTGCACAGAACATGATGCATCCGGAGTTGTTAGAGAAGCTTGTCTTGAATAGCTTCTGTAAGTAATTATTGTTTTCGTTGTTTCACTTCCACAAAATATATGAGTAAATCTGTCAAAAGTACATACACGGAGAACATTCTAAACAACAGTGGAAGATTTCATATCAATACCTTTGCTTGCTACATATGCTCTTCTGAATTACTTACTATGTCTTGCATCCAGCCATTACAGTGCAAGTTGAAGTAATTTTCGCATGGCCCATTATTCATACATAGAAAAATTTCTGCTTGGTATGATGCTGTGATGTCATTTGAGGAGTGGAGGTATTATGCATATAGTTTTAGATATTGGACTGTCCGTCATTGTTGTGATCTATGTTGGATACTAGGGTTTGTGTTGGTGTAAAGTAAAACTTCAGGGTGTAAGCGTGAGCATTATTATGGCGGATGTCAAGTGTGAGAATATTCATGCAAGTCTGAAAGCAGCCACTTTCTGCACAAATCTCAAGGAAGTTAAGTATGTATTTTGTTCACCTCTAAACACCCTGTATTGGTGAGACTGATATTGATGAATGGCCTTTCTTTTTCGCTAAACTTCAAGTTAGGTGCTTGAATAAGCTTCAAAAGTAAACAAGTTAAAGCTATATACAGCCTCTTCTTTTGTACATCTAATTTCTTTGTAACGCTATGAACTTTTTGTATTCTATTAGAAATTGAAAGCCCTAAACTGTGATAAAGTTAGAAGCTATTTAGTTTATTATTTTTATCTTTATTGTTATGAAGGGTATTTTTGTCTTTTTGATAGTTGAACTATAAATATAAGTGACAAAGGGAGAGAACCCTAACTCTCTCTTCTTTTTTTCAGTATCTTTCTTTCTTCTCTTTTTCTTCCCTTCTCTTTACATTATTTCAGTATGGTATTAGAGCGGGTTCCGCAATTCTTCGATTCATCGCGGAACAACACCAAATTTTTTTATTATTATTACTTTTCTTGATTTGCTAGAAAAACAATTTTTTTTCAAATTTTTTGTTGTTTGTTCGCAACAAAATAAAATAAAAAATTAACAGCTTGGTCGACTTGTTGAGTAGTGTCCATGAATTTTTTTTTTGGGCCGAGCCTTGATAGTGTAGGCCCAAGTCCTTACCTAAGTGAGTTATCGGGTAGGCCGGTCTTCGAATAGGGGTAAGCTACCTGTAGCTCAACTAGCAAGCCTATTGGGCGGGCCTTCTGAGCGGGCTTGCTGGGCGGGTTTTTTTATATACAACTTTATTTAAAAATAATGAATAATTTTGTAACGTAATATTTGTGTAAATTATATTTTTGAATCAAAAGTAGAGTCAAAATGGATAAAAATAAAATAATGAATAATTTTATTTTTGATTAGGGGATGAACTACATCCAATAGAATGAATACATCCCAACTAAGTTGACACCTACTCACTTATCTGTCATTTGAATTACTCTACCTTTTAAAACTTGTATACTTAATACATGAAAAAGAAAATAATACATTATTTATAGTATCTAAATTTTTAAAACTTTAAATTTCGACATTGGAAGACTTATTTCAAAGTTTCAAATTTAATGGTTTAAAAGAATAACTTTTTTTTAAAGGAAGGGTGGATGGGCGGGCTCTTGGGCCAAGTTTTTTTGAGCTGGCTATTGGGTCGGGTAATAGGTTTGGGGATAAATTCAAGTCCTCTTTTTAAGGATATTGGGCTGAGGCTCGGACGGACGACTTATAGTAACCCGGCCCATGGACACCCCTATGTCCATCTATGGTTTTTCTGAATTTTTTTGAAATTATCTGATTTTTCATTATAATTTTTTTTTATTGTTTGAAAAAATAGGCCTATTTTTCAGATTTTTAATTTTCATCCTCCTTTTGGGGGATTGGTTGCTTGGAATAGACATTATGGGTGTTGATCTACAATGCCCAAGGGTTGCCTAGTGATTTAGAGTTGTTTTTTTTGTGTTTTATAGATTTAAGGGGGGTGCAACAAACATATATTTTGGCTTTGAGTAATCCATTTTGTGTCGTGGTAGTATTTTACCTATTCTTTGTGATATTCATGTTTGATTAAATTCAAGTTTGAGATAGTAGCTATGTTTTTTGTTATTTTGTAGTTTTTTGAGTCATTCGGCGTGTATCTGGCCTTTAAGAAGAGGTAAAAATCAAAGTAACCATGTCAAAATCTAACACAGTCTCTTAGAAACATTCAACAAGTGTTGAGTCATATTTGACTTTAGATTGAAAATCCCAACCTACAAATTACAACAGTGAAGCTTGATGGGCACAATTACCCTGACTAGTCGCAGTCACGTATGTTGTTTGTTAGGAGTAAGGGAAAGATAGATTACTTGACCGAACAACTGAGAAATCAAACGTTGATGATCCACTTTATGAAAATGCTGCCAAAGATTAGCAATGGCTATTTATTCTTACGTATTGCCAAGGAAATTTAGGAGGCAGTGTCACATACCAACTTGAAGATGGCACCATGGCACAGGTTTATGAGTTGAAATGTCGGCTTCACAATACTAAGCTGAAGGATTCCTCTTTGGCGGCATATTTTCATACCTTGTAGGATTATGGTAGGAATTGGATCACTATCAAAGACTTAACATGAAGTGTGCTAAAATGCCTCAAAACTACATAAGTTGATTGAACAGGAAAGGATTATTGAGTTTTTTGCTTGCTTGAATCCTCGGTTTGATTAAAATTAGGATTCAAATCTTATGGAAGGAACCTCTTCCTTCCCTCTAGGAGTTATATGCTTATGTTCAATCAAAAGAGAGCACGTGAGGAATCATGCTTCATGCTATGCCCCTAAGAGAGTTCAGCCCTGGTTATTGTCGCTTCTTGGGATAGCCAGTTGGGAAGCAAGAAAGTCGAGGATGTGTGAATGATGTTGCATTTGATGATAAAGATAAGTTTTATTGTGATTATTGTCATAGGCTGAGACATAATAGAGAGACTTGCTAGAAATTATAGGATCATCCTCAGGTTAGAGGTAGAAGAGGACGATCAGGTGATAGAGGAGAATCTCAAGCTCATCTTATGGCTGTAGTAGAGGCTTCTTCACCTAGTCTTGGTCTTGTTCCATCATCTACTGCAAAAACAATGGATCTCACTAAGGAAGAAGTGGAAAATAATGTCGCCTTATGTCGAAGTTTGAGACACCAATCACTGCATCCACTTCTTTTGCCCATGCAAGTAACTTTTCTACAACATTGAGTGAATCTTGTAATATTCCTTCTTGCCTTTGGATTATTTATTTAGGTGCCTCTAACCATATGACTAGAGTATCTACTTTGTTCTCATCATATACTGCTTGTCCACGAAAGCAACATGTTAAAACAACTGATGGTTTCGTATCATCTGTAGCTTAAAGGTTCTATTTTAGTCACTTCATCTTTATATCTCTCATCTGTTTTAAATGTTTCTAATCTTTCAAACAATCTTCTTTCTGTCAGTAATATTATTAAGAGATTAAACTATAGTGTAACATTTTTTCCTTCATATTGTGTCTTTCAAGACCTTGCCACGAGAAAGACAATTGGTAGTGGTGAGGAAAGAAATGGTCTTTACTTTCTAAATTCTCAAGAGCCAGACGGTGCTACCATTACACAAATTCATGTGTTAAAGAGATGTGATACTTCTAAGAAGCAGATTTGGCGCCTACTAAATCAGAGATTAGGACATCCTTCATTTGCCTTGTTGCAAAAATTATTTTTTTCTTTGTTATCTAGGGTGAATGTTTTTCAATTTCGTTGTGAAATATGTGAACTTGCAAAACACCATTGTGTGTCATTTCCTATTAGTTTCAATAAAAGTATTTCACCAGTTGCCATTCTTCATACGAATGTATGGGACCTTCCTATGTTGTTAGTTTGTATGGTTTTCGATGGTTTATGACATTTATTGATGATTTTTTTCGTACCACTTGGATTTACTTGTTGAAATAAAAAAAAAATGAAGTATTCTCATGTTTCCAAACATTCCACAAGATGTTACTTACTCAAGTACAAAATGTTCGTTCTAATGATAATGGGAGTAAGTATATTTATGGGGGACTTCGATCCTATTTTGCTGACTATGGTATTATTCATCAAACAATTTGTATTGATATTGATGCACAATAAAAGTAGAGCTTTCGGGCTAATGTGCTCAATAATCGAGCAGGTTGATTATTTTCTAATTAAGTGAATTGGATAATTTCTAGGAGATTTTTATTTATATCCTAATTTAATTAGGAAGTTATTTAATTTTTTTTATATCAATTAGGATTTTATTTTATTTGTTTTCCTAGTTTAATCAGGATTCTATTTTCGTAGTTTAATTAGGTTTTTGCTATTATATAATAGCTTGTAAGCCTTAGGGTTAAATCAGTTTTGGAAGGATTAATAATATTGAGAGTGTTGTCTCTTTTCTTCCCAATTCTTTGCCATATTTAGGAATCAACAGAGTTATTGAAACATTTAGGACTGGTATTCTACGGAATCGACAGATTTAGAGTAGGATTCTAATTTGGTATTTGTGAGCAAATGAACGGTATTGTTTCGTTATCCCCTTTTCATTCATTAAACCCTTATTTCGACCCATTTTCCTACATCAGATACACCTCAACAGAATGGGGTTGTTGAGAGAAAGTATTGCCATCTCTTAGAAGTTAGGGCCTTGATGTTTTTTATGAATGTTCCAAAGTCATATTGGGGAGATGTCATCCTTACATCAACATACCTCATCAATAGAATTTCTTCTCGAGTTCTAAACTTTCGGTCATCAATTGAGGTATGATCTTCTTCTTCTTCATCTTCCCTTTCTTTCTCTAACTATTTCTCAGTTC